TAGACACTCTCAAACATCGAGATGTAGGTAAAATGGACACACTGAACCGGAAAATGGCAACTGTGACCCCTCGTTATGTCCCCAAGGTCATCTCAGGTCACGAACAGAATCTAACAGTTTTTCGCTAATAACTTCTGATAGAGACGTGCTAGAGCGCTGAAAACGGCTCAGATGTGTTCGGCTCGACGTTGCGGATCGACTGATATGCAACATGACCTTTTCCGGTCAGGACATGACCTTGACCTGAGGTCAAATTTTCAAATTGACCTTTCAAGGTCAAATTATAGTTCATTCGACGCGTCTCGACGAGAGGAACACGATGGTGGCAAAAGTAATGTCATGACTCTTTTGAGTCAAAAGTTATTGCCGAAAAAACGTTTTTCGTAAAAACGGCTATTTTTGGAGTTTTTGCCCTCTGGAGGCTAAACCGTTGACCTGAGGTCAAATCTGAGAACATTACTCAGAAAGGTCTGTAAAAGGGCTATCGAATGTGCTATTCTGCGGCGCTGTAGCTCTATCGGTTCCCGAGATAGCCGTTGGCAGTTTCCAAAATGTTGAAATAGTTGACATTTGACCTTTGGTGACCTTTGGTGACCTGACCTTTGACCTGACCCCAAAAATGACTGAAGTGTTTTCGTCCTTATTTTGGACGTTCTTTCGATTGCCGCTTACCGCGTGTCGCCGTGGCCCAGGAGCCGAGTTAGAAGGGGGGGGGGTTCAGCCCCCTGCCCGGCGCGGAATCTCAGAGCACCGGCCCGGCGCGGGTTAAGTGCAATCATCACCGCACTACGCCTCCGTCTTCCTGGACCCAGACCTTTGCCTACAACAGCTCTGTAGCGGAAGACAGTCTCGGCAGCGGAGAGTTTCCACTTTCAACAGCAGATATTCTAGGGAGCGAATGCTTTCAGCAGCGGAGCCCCGGCGGCAGCCATCACCGGCAGCTGAGCACGGAAGTCTGGGAACGCCGCGGGAGCTGACCTCTGTTACGGTGTTCGGCAGACACCGGGCCGGCCGCGGGGGAACCAGCTCACACCCGGTGGAGGTCAAACACCGCCCAGTGTGACTCATATCGGGAGTGATCGGCGGAACGGCCGACCGGCACCGCTGTCCGAGCCCCGGGGGTTTCAGCGCGGAGAGCCGCGCTAGGTCAAACAGACACGTGTGGAGCTGGGGTGGGGCTCTCAGGGATGCCGTCGTAGCTCATGGCATTGCTGTGATAAAATGTTGTGCCTATGATGTGATTCTCCAGCTGGAAATACCTGGGGAAGGAGCGTGTGTCTGCTACGCCATATCGTAAGGCCTAAGAGGCATGTGAGTGCCACTTTGAGTTCGATGCGAGTGCCACTTTGAGTTCGATGCGAGTGCTACTTTGAGTTTCAAGTTCATATGAAAAGGCTTAGCAATGCTTTTATGAAATTAATTTGTTACCGCTATGAAAGAGAACTGCTGATTTTATTAGGTGGAGTTAACGACGCTAAATTTAATTAATTCCGAAGGAACCGATATTTATTATGCCCTTCTAACCACTGACAGCCAAATCACTTAAAGATAAACAGCTAAATAGTTGTGTTGACAGTTCCTTGCGACAGCATTGCCCATGAATTAAACTGCAGATTGACATTTCGATTGCACGTCATAACTCTGGAGCTCAACCCGAATATTTTTACAGCTTAGGAATCATCAAACTTCTTCAACAAAGTCAACAAAGTGACCTAGCGAGTAGCGACTAGCCCTACCCATTCCGTGGCGTCCGGCGTCCGGCGGTGTCGGGTCAGACAGACCAGACAGGGGAGAGGTCACGAGTGGAGGTGGGGGAGGTCACGCGGTCACGTCTAATGAAGACCGTAAATCCTCTGCATCGACCAATTAGCGGCTGACGGGCGCCCGATGAGCGATACAGGCTGGGGATCGATCCCGAGCGGCGCCCTCAGGGCCGCAGAGAGGGCGCCATGACCTGCACGGCGGGCGGCGGCGAGCGATCTGCGTATCGACGGTCCGCCGACCCCGCCTCCGCCCCCGCCGCCGCCGCCGCCATCGACGGACCTGAACGCCTTCCGCCGGTTATTTCCTGTCCATGGCGTGTTGGCCAGATTGGGACATTGCGGGGTGGTGCTGGTCAGATTCTGTCTTGATTCTTGAAAACTGAGTGTGGAGGAAGGCGGTGTTCGAGATGGTGCTCTCAGGCTAGGTGTCGATATTGTCTGCTGAATGACCGTCTCGTTTAGTGTCATTTATCATGCAATGTGAACTGTGGGCCAAAACTCAATTGATGCTGGCTACAACAAGTTGTCAGCCTAAACACCGTCCCGTCTCGGCGGCAATTCTGAGCTGTTTCCCCACTCCGAGGTCTCTACTCCGCTGTGAAGTGGCGTGCTGCACGGTCCGGCGTGCTGCCAGTTGTTGGTGGCGGTGGCACATTCGTCCCATACCCCGGTGACGCCATGCAATGCAGCCCCGTGTACCCACATTAACTGGAACCGCGGCGGTAGCAGCACCGTCACGGCTTCCTGGCATTGTTTTCTGCCGTTTCCGATTGTTGAGTTGTGGCGGCGGTTTGAGCAGTAGGTGGGCGTGGCCCGTGGGAGCTGTGGCTGCTCTCCAGACCCGCGGCGGGGCTTGTTCTCGGGCTCCTGCGGTGTTTCTGCGGCGGGGCTTGTTCTCGGGCTCCTGCGGTGTTTCTGCGGCGGGGCTTGTTCTCGGGCTCCTGCGGTGTTTCTGCGGCGGGGCTTGTTTCTCGGGCTCCTGCGGTGTTTCTGCGGCGGGGCTTGTTTCTCGGGCTCCTGCGGTGTTTCTGCGGCGGGGCTTGTTTCTGGGGCTCCTGCGGCGGGGTTATGGTCGAGCTTTCTCCGTGTGGTTGGAACGTGGCTGGGTGCGACCACAGTTGTTGATTGGTGTAATTTGTGAAGCACACTGGTTTGCTCATTTGTGATCTTTATTCACTACGATTTATATTGCAAGTAATTGTATTGAACATGTGTCGATGTTTATTGCCAGCCTATATTTGTCCCCTGGATAGGCCTTCAAGCTCCTTATTAAAGTGATTCCTACATTGCGCTTCCTTGTGATCGTTGTTTACTCCGAATAATATTGCCAGCAATTGCTATGGACATATGTCGTTTCTTATCACCAACCTATATTTGCCTCAAAATCGGATAGGCCTACAAGCTCCTTATCAGAGTGATTCCTACATTGCATTCTCTATTGAAAAATCCTTATGATAGTCAGCAGAAACGGTACTTTCTGTGACAGTACGACCAGTTTCCTGGTATTTATTGCTTGATGACGTGATGTTCAACATCACTGCTACCAATTTAGTCCAAAGAGGCGTTTTTTGAGCGATGCAACGATCATAGATATGGAGGCTTAGCCAGGTGCGACTGCGATACAATCCGATCGGCTGTCAATAATGAAGACAGGCAGGACTGCAAACGACCGCTGATCACTTCTCCCCAAAGATTTTCAGAGTTCTGTTGTTTATTTGGTCATTTGAGTGAATCACCAGCAGTGACGTGCGCCATCGATCGGTGAGGTGTACCGTGAACAGCTAAAAACCACAACAGCTGTTCATGACATCATAACATTACGTTTCGAATTGTAGTTTCGAGTATTGAGTAGCGTTTGACATAGTTGTACTCGTATAGCAAAACGCAAATCTATCGCTCATTCCCTTCATATCGTTTGAGTTATGTAACTCCATCATGATCTACGCTGAATCAACTGCAGATGTCCACTGTCCATTCAGCGTACCGAGCGAACAGCCTCGGTTGGGCGCGGAACGCCTACCACCTTTTTTATGTCGGCTCGTCTCCCGGGCCCAGTGCAGTGCAATAACTGGTCCCGAGTCCCAACAACTTCTGTTTCGCTTTCTGTGTCTGCGTTTGACCGTCTCAGGAGCTCTCACCTTCACCCAACGTCTCACCATCATCTTACCTGTCTCACTGTCCCACAACTGTCTCACCTCATCTACCGCCCACCGTGGCTATCCCCGTTCCGGCTGGAGCGGTGACAAACATATGGAGCGGCGCCGCATCACGTCACGTCAATTGATGAAGGGAGCTTCTTCAGAAAACTTGCACAATAGTTGGGGGGGGGGGGGGGGCAAACCTGTCAGCGGCACAGTGTTCAGTGTGTCGGCCATCGTGCGCTGTGTCCTGTCCACGGTTTGGCGTCCACTGTCCCTCCACAGCCCACCTTTCAGTAATCAGTATCCATCGTCCACTGAGCATTGTCTGCTTGGTCCTTGGTCATTGAAGTTCAAGACAAAAAGAAGGGCGGAGATCCATCATCAAAAACACTCTTGAATACAGTGACTGTCTTGTACTGCAGTGAGTGGCCAAGGTATTTGTTTACCGAAAGCTTTATAAAGCTTTCGGTAAACAAAGCTTACATACATTTATGTAGCTTGTACATAAATTATTTTAATAAATAATTGACTTGTTCTTGTTATCATTTATCCTAATTGTCTTGGATATTACACAATTGTTGGTCAATGTTACAGTTCACTAGCTGTGTAATCAGACCGTCGTTGCTCGGCCGTTTGCTACTATGTACTCGTATTTGCATGCGGCGCTGATCACCTTTCCGTCACTTCTGACTGGAGATCTGCATCTGCTGAGTTACATTATATGCCATTTCCAACGCAAATTAGATCTGTTCTTCGAGGCGGACCCGGGCGATTTCTATTTTTCCCATTTACAGGTTATCCTAACGAGGTGAAACAGATTTTACTGTCGATGGAGCATCGTCAAAGTGAATCATTCACCATATTGGAAAATGGAACGCTATTTGTTAAGAAATACAAGCGTTATCGCGCGGAATATTTATGAAGATATGGTCGCATGATTCATGACCGTCCAGGGCATAAATTTGTGTAACCAAAACACACATCACTTTTGATGACAAATTAAGCGGCGATCAGTCAGTGTGGCACGCCCTCGAACATCGCTCACACGGTGGGTCGCCCGACGCTGACCTGTTGTGTGTCTGTGTGCCTGTTTCAGGAAAATTTGCGCCAACTGTAAATGTGACCGGGAGAGTCACGACCTGTGCCAGGAGGACTGGGTGAACGTCAGAGACCGGCTCGGCTTCACAGGCGTGCTGGAGCCCGACAAGTGAGTTCTGCGCGCCCATACACAGACCGGGACACTCATACGTCTCAGGAATTCGTCGCGATATTGATGAGTTGGTTTTGAATAATTCAGAGACCGGCTCGGCTTCACAGGTGTGTTGGAGCTGGAGAAGTGAGTTCTGCCCTCTCCGATACACCCACTCAGCAGATCATCGTGATTTGTGACACTTGTGTGAGTTTTGTATGTAATAAGTCACTTATTCAGTCTTTCACGTCGGGCCCCCGCAGTCCCCTTCCCGGTGTTGTGTCGAACGAGGGACAGCTATTGGACTGGGAGAGGAGACTGGCGACCAGACCCGGACCATCACTCACAATGAGATCACCCTGCGGTCACGCTATTAGCTCGATCCGTCTGTCGGACGCCGTGATGACGCGACTCCACCCAAACACATATAGCAGACTGCTGAGCAGGATCCTCAGTACATACTTACAGTGGTCACCCACGAGACGTCCGTACGGCTGCCCTGCTCGCCACAGTTCACGAGCGGACTTCAGTCACAGCATTTACATCACACTCGTGTCGCCTGGCCCGTCTTCCCTCCCTTCAGAGAAGCAGCTGCTCCCCGCTGCTTCAGAGAAGGACCCATAATAGCTGGATCATCGGGAGCGGGTAGCCACTGTTGCTATGACTCTGACACTTAACAAACCGTCTCCTCTTCTCTCCTGTGACTTTCGTTGTGACCGTGAGCGGTGGTGGGAGTGGCAGCATCGCCGTTCCAGCGATAACGTTTGGACATTAGGGGTTCCCGGGATAGATCGCTGACGAACGGCTATAGAGCAACTGTCGAGCGACAGTCTGGCGACGCGATGGTTGGGAAGACAGTCTGGTGACGGTGGGCGACAGTAGGCGACAGTGGTGCAATTTATAGTGGGCGACAGTGGAAGACGGTGGTCGACAGTGGCGTGATGGAACAGTGGAGTGACCCGAGTGACCCTTACTTATATGGGTTGCCATTTCTCGCGCCCCTCGCTGATCAAGAACATGAATTTGCTGCGGAAGCTTGGAACTGCTGCTTCGTTCAACGATAGGTTGCACCTTTTGCTGGTGGTCGGCAACTGACGTTGCTGCACTTTTGGTCTGGATGTCGGCTGATGTGATGACTGTTTATCTCTCGATTGATATGATAGACGGTCTCAGTCACGGCTGGATTCTGGTGCGTGGGAACCAGGAGACGGAGAAGATTCCTCAGTGAAGACTCATCGTCACGCTTGGATTCTTTTCTCGCAAACAGGGTGACGCGATCTCAAGTCCAAAGCTTAACTAGGCCTGAGCGTTGAATTTCTTGGGCTCTGGCCTACCGACTATTGAAGCTGTCATGCATGGTCCTGTGTTAGCGGGTTAGTTTCCATATTCCGTGCCTCAGGGATGCTAACATGGCTCAGTAGGAAACCTCTTTAGTTATAATGTGTGTTAAGGTAAGTGCAGTTGCAGCATCAGTGCCGGCTGATGAATTTTGAGGAATGCAAAATTTTAACCCAACTCGGGGAGAAGAAATTCTCTTTTATCATTACCTCATAGTTTATTTGGCAGTCGAGATTTCGTAAAAGATAACCAATGAATTTCACATGAAGAGGTTTGACTATCGCAGATGGGGATGATCTAAGATCGTGAGGTATAGTCCCTGTTCCCCTTTCTGTGTGAGCCCACTGTCAGGCTTTTTTTTGTTGGGTTAGGCCCTTTCGGTCCAATGAGACCATTTCAGAGCCGGGAGGATGATAGGATATAGGGGGAGACATTGGTCTGGGCAGGCACCCTAGTGAGTCGCCGGAGCTGAGCCCGTCCAGAGGACAGGCCACCCAGCCCCAAGGCACTCACTGCACCCGGCTACGGGGTGCGCTCCCTCGGGAGCAGCGGTGCCGCTCCAAGGGAGCAGCCCGCATGAGATAAAGTTGCCTGTTCAGCCCGGAGGGGGGGTTGCGGCGTGGAGGAAAAGGATTTCCGTATCCTGAGGATAGAAGCATGGAACGGTGACTGTCAGGCTGGCTGGCCGTGCGGGTCGTGCCAGCGTGGCCGGTCATCTGATAACGGCAAATCACTGGACCAGGGGAGTGGGAGAGGCAGGGGGCGATAAGGGAGCCGTCACCGCTCGGCCGGCGACAGCGCCGTGATATTGGGTGCGCTGGCGGCACACAGCTGGTCTGCGGCCGACCGCCGCCCCGCCGCCACCGCCATATGACGGTGGTGTGACCGAGGGCCCCCCTCCCCTCCCCTCCACTTCTGACCCGGTCAGGCCACACACCGGGAAGTGAGGCCGCCCGCCGCCAGTCAATAAACGAGCGCTTATCGCCCGCCGGCCGCGCCAATGATGACGGATTTAGTGCGTGATGTTTGGTGTGTGGCTCAACGGGCCACGCGTGAGACTGATAGCCACGGAAATGTGGCGCAGACTGGTCAGAGGAGAGTGGCTTTATGGTCTGTTTTGTCGGAATGTCTTTTACACCAGAATTAGTTACAAAGTGGGCAGAAATGCAAGGTGTGCATAGTTTTATGAACAGATTTATTAGTTAGTGTAAATGAAAATAAACTGCTATTGTTGTTCATAACGCATGATCCGAACGCATTGCATCCGAATCACGAATGTCAAGAATAAAATTTGTCTTGAAGGTTTTGGGCTGATGCACTTGATCTTCCGTCTTTTTTAGTCTGTCTTGTCACCACATCGGCATTTACCGACGAGTCGTGATAGTCTTTTAGGACTCGTTTGCATAACCCACTCAACATGCGCCGACGGTTGGGAAAATTCATTCTTCTGGCTGGCTAAATATAGAACTGAAATCTTTCAGCACCGGCACGTATCCGGACACATCACATTAAGCATCATCACGTCACCCTGAAACCTTCACCGCCCTGGGTCCCTGTGCGACCGGTCGGGACACCGATTGATGACCGGCTGACGGTCTGAGACGGCTGCAGCGCCTCAGAGACCGGCGCCGGCCGTCCGAGAGAGTTGTCAGCTCCGCTCGTGACCGACGGACGGCGATCGAACGGCAACGCTGAACACCCGGTGCAGCGCGGCTGCATTAGGTATACATCGACGGGCGCTGCAATGACGTCTACCTGAAATCAGCATTGACGGCGAGAACAGTGGCCTTGTGCGGGGAGGGAAGGTCGCGCTCCGCTGCTGCCGTATCATCGTTTTACAAGAGTCAACCGCATGGAGGGAAGTTTGAAAATGACCAGAGGACTCGGAGCTCACACCTCAAAGAGCAGGGCGGACTGGGTAATACATATGGTGACTGACTTGTCAATAACCAAGTCTCAGCGATAAGTCGCTCCGAACCAGGTTGTGTAGAGGCGACTGACTTTCAAGTATTGTTTGTTTGGGACGTTCATTTCTTCGCCTTCCTATCGAACAACTGACACCTGCAAGTTGTTGACATGCAATATCCACTTTGCAGCGTCGCTCTCGTTCTTGATTAGCTATTGTGTGCATGATATCTCTGGGTTAGGCATTTTCTTCTCGGGGATGCGAAAACCTCAAGCAAAGAATAAAGATGAAGAGCAAACGCAGCCGGATGCTATCTTCGACTGTTGGATTTCGCTCCCAGTGATTGAACACACCAGTGTGTAATCCTAAATCATATCATCTTTTCTGCACCACCTTCATCAAGCCACTGCCAAATACCACTCGTCTGCCACCTGGCATGCGTCGGCCGCCTGCACATTCTACAATATGACACGGCGAACAAATACCGTGTGCCCAGTGTACCGAGAGTAGGCCCCGTCCAGCCTGCCTGACTCCGCGCCGTCTGTCCAGTGTTATCTGCTCTCTTCCCTTGCATGGAGGCGCTAATGCTGTTTTATGTAACATATCATATTGCATTACTGGGAGTGGTTACGCCGCGTCGGGCACAACGGTGGCTGTTGCATGTGATAAGTGGCAGACGCCGTAATATCCATGATCATGATGTCCTGAGATAGACTACCGTATCATGAGCCACCTTCTTGAACTGTAGGAGGGTTTCGGGTAAACTGCATCTTCCTTGGGATCAAATGCATGCACGTATGCCAACTGTGCTGCTAAAATTGAAGGGTTGCAGTCACCATGTTTAGCATCTAAACGCGGATTAGCTGGAAAAGTGCCACCAATTTCAGCGTGCTAAATTTTCCATAGCCCTCAATCTATTAGCGACAGTCATTCATCTATATATATTTCACCCAGCAATTTTCCAAATCTGCGCTCCGATGCCAGAAGTCGGTGCTAGATCCTTTATTTCCAATGTGACGAATTCTTGTTGTCTGTCCGTCCTTGCTGTTCCAATTTTCCGTTTAGTGAGCTCTCTCACGTACAGGAATTGTTTCGACATCACCAAGCGTCCAATCCTTCAACTACATCCGTCAATCCTACCGTAAAATATGGGTCCTCGGTATAATGCGACGAACAGCAGAGCCATATCAACTGGCGCAGTGGCAGAAGGAATCCCCAGCGGTCCGCTTCAATCACCTGTGACAGGGACGTCCGACAGCTCCTCTGCTCGCGGTGATGAAACGCTCAAGTTACGTCTGGAATGACACCGGCCTTAGCCTTCAGCCCGGTTCGGACGTTACGTCTGTCTCAGTTGAATCAGACAGTGAACGCTGCTCCGGTCGACCCGGCGTCGCGAGGACCATACAAATTGGATTTCACCGTATGGAGTCCTGCGACTGTAGGCTGTGTGTCACTGAGGGTTCGTGTCTAGCTATCTGCCGGTGCCTACTTGCATGCAGTTTTGGCCGACTCACTGGTCGGCGCCTGACACCTACAGCCCCGATAGCGGGCGATTTCGGCGAGGGGCGCAGGAGAGGTGCTCACTGAATGCCAAGTGGGAACTTTGGTACCGTATGCCCCGTGCTTCAACAGCCCAACATTTATGCTGTGTTTATGAATAATTATACGGCATAACTCACCCAAGTCGGAGGTTTTATCACTTTCCCTGCGCCATCTTTAGGAGTCAGGTTCTGTAGTGAGGCGTCAAAATAATCATGATCGACATCTATGATCTTACCTGTTGCATGGCTAGATTTGAATGTTTAAAATTGTGCGTTGATATGCTTAAACGTGCTAGTTTATCCTGATCAAATCCTCTTGCTCGCCTTTTTTCGCTTGCCTTTCTCTATCTACGATCCCAGTGTCCACCGTCTGTGACTGCTCTGTCTCGGCACACTCTACCCCACCCCCACCCCCCCTGTGATCAAGTGCAAGTATTGCACCAGTTCCCCTCCCTCCATCGGCCGTGTCGAAACGTACGCGGCTCGTGGCCAGCATGCCACCGGAGCCCGACCGGTGCCGGTGCCGGGGCCGGGGTCGGGTGCAGCAGGCTCGTCCAGTCACGCTCCAGCACCGTACATCATCTGTGGCCCGCCTTAGGATGACGGCTCTGAGGGCGAGGTGTGCGTTAGCACCAGGCTGAGAGCAGAGCTGTGAGGATCTGTGATGAGCGTGATAAAACGCTGTAGCAACAAGAGCCGCCGCAAAACGCTCTAGCACCGATGGAGCGTTTGGCGGGATGGAAGGGTGCAGATACACGCGATTGGTACTCAAGTTATAAGTAGTAAACAGAATTACCAAATGGGGCTGTGAGACACGGTCGGTAATATCAGTTTCACGTCTGTGCCCAGAGCTGCATCGCAAACTGCCTGGTTATGGATTGTAGGGAGGGTTTCGTGACCAGGGCTGTATACAAACGACTGGACAGCACGCATTGGACTAATCGCGAAATGTCTGTTTCTAGTTAGCTAGGGCCCAGAGGAAGTATTACTTTTGAAGGTTACGGACTGTTTCGTGTTTTTAGATCAGACTGGTGTTGGGCGCTGTCGTCTTTGCGGCTCATAGGTCGCCGCTGCACGACTGCTACGCTGCGCTTGTGACGAGTTGGGATGTTCCCCTCCCTCCATCGGCAGTCACAGACGGTGGGCAGTGGCACACCTCTCGAGCGTCATGACGTCACGTCTGACTCAGGGAGACCTTTGGACACCTGCTGGGTGGTCCTATTTGTCCGGGTAGTTGAAGCTTTCTGATAGCCATGTTCGTAATAATCGAGGATTATCAGGCATAAAATAATAGGTGTTCTGCCAACTAAGCATCTTTAGTTTTAGCATGGCAATTGGTTCAGCCATTCGGACAAAGGTTGAATCGATGACTGCTGAATGTGAACACATTTCAGCAATGCCAATCAAACTAATTGCATGGCTCAAAACATGAGCTTGCATGAATGACTGTTATCTTTAAAGCCAATATACATTTAGGAGGCCGTTTCATTTTGTCTGTCCCGCCTCTCGCTTACTAAATGTTCCGTTGTCATGCACTCGTGCATCTGAGAAATACGATTCCGTGCTGCGTGATTATGCAGTTTTGTGATGTGTCGGCTACATCTGAGGGCGCTAGCCGAGACGGTTTACGACCGTTGGTGAAGTGATGAATGCGGTTTGCTCTGACTCGTGCCCGAATTCGGCTATCTTCGTCCGCCATTTAGTTCGGTTACAGGCGGACGTTTAGGATCGAGGGCCCGCTTCTGTTGGTGGCCCCGTTCATGTCATTGCGCAGCATTATTTTGAAGCTGAAAATCGCCTTCGTGTTTACTGAGATATGTGTTTAACTCTTCTCATGCTCTTTCGTCGCTTGATGTACCACTTATTTTATATAAATTGCAATAATCCATCCTGGCGACATAAGAATGCAAACTGCTGATGGTGCATTTTATTCCCCTTGCATCTGAAACTCCCATTCCTCTTTGTGTCAGAGGTATGCCAACCGGCATGACACACACCAGATCTGTAATCAATGCGCACGAATGCAGAGACACAAAGTAGACCAGCAATGTGCTCGGCTGCACGTGCCTGCATTCATAGCAGCACATAGCACACTCCTTGTTCGTGACTCTCGGTCTCTGTAATGAATCCATGGCGCTAGCGGTTGACAGGTGAATGGAGTTTAATTGTTTTCCAAGTCATTCTCATTTGCTATTAACGATCTGCATCTCACAATTCATCTGCTATTATTAAAAGGAGATTTGTGTGCTTTGAACATGCTCTTGGCAGAAGTCATTTGTTTTCTTGCATTCATCTGTGTAATGATATGATCAGCCTTGTATCATAACCATAGTTCTTATATGTTTATAGGTGTCATTCGTCGAGTCCCACCCTTTTCTTGTCATGTGCTACCAGTGCCGCATTTCAGCTCTGCTTTCAACGGCAGCTGCTGGAGCAGTGGCACACGTCACTCTCCCGAATGCGGGCCTAGTTTTTACGCGTGCTTGATCTGTGTTTTTAAACTTTGTTTCGTCTCATTGATGCGTATCGTATTTTATTTTGAATTGATGTCCAATTGATGTATTTTTGACCATATAGATTCTTTTTGTGGGACAGCTTATAAAGAAACGAAACGGAACGAAATGTCACCCTGTGCTGAGCCGTGTTTCTGGTAGAATGTCGTCTTGGGCTGAGCGTTGTTTCTGTTAGAATGTCGTCCAATGCTGAGCCGTGTTTCTGTTTTCGATTGCAGGCGGGTGTCCAAGGACAGGGCGTTCCAGCAGGGCTACTCCTGGGTACCGCCCGGACTCAGTCGAGAAAAGGTAACGTTCACAAGCACCTGCACCTCCGTCATCGCTGTCCTTCAGTCGCACATGTTCTTATGAGGCCGCTCACACTAATTGAAAGCGCCAGGAGGATTAAGATAATCGATCCAATGGTCGGCACTTGCGACGGACAGATATTTTGCAGCAAAGGGATCAGACATTCAAACAGTGACGTTTGTAATGTAACGACAGCAAAATAGGTTTGATGGTATTGTGAAGTCCAGACATACCTCTTGTATGTATAGTGTGATGGAGTTCCGATGGACGTCCTTGGACCGCAACACTCATCCAGCGAAATATGGTTCCTTGTTTCACGCTGCAATTAGCATTATCTAGGTATTCGGAGCCATGGCCTCACCTCTTTTCTTGGCGACAATGAAACTAGGCCTTTGCGTTTTTATTTTGTCTGCATAAGGTCTTCATAAAGTGCTGCAGAATACGGGATAGATTCTGCAAGCGATGCATCCTATTATGATCCCCCTCTTATTCAGAGGATCAAAAGGGCCATTTGGGACGCCAAAAACGCACAAGGTTAGGATTTATTGGCAGTAATCCTATCACAAGAATGACAACATAAATGGAATCATCACCAGCACGCCTACACCTCCTTAGCATTCTTAGCTGTAAACTTCAGCTGTTAACATCATCAGCCCCGGTCTCACGTCATCCATTGGACGTGATTACAAGCTCTGCGGCTCCCACCAGCCTCTCGGCCCGTGTCGACCATCCATCGCTCGCTCTCCCCGCCGAGCAGAGCTGGGAACGGCGTGATCGACAGCCTGCTTATCACCCACCGATGGTCGCCATCGATAACACCGCTCTCCACTGGCCAGTGACGTCACGGCGCCGCTCGTGACATCACGACGCCGAGATACACCTGATCTGAGGAATAATGCCACGCACCAAATAACACAAAGTGGTGCGCTCATTAAAATGAGAGCAAAATTATCACATAGTTGCGCTATTTTTATTCCTCCTTACATTGGGAATGCATCGCCATTTCTCATCACTTGAGCGTATTCACCAAAACGCACGAGTAAATGATAGGTATTTTCAATTGTGTGGGAGACTTTTTGTCTGCAAGAGGTCGTTACAACATTCTAATGGATAGGACACGCTTTGCAGAGCCAATTTCCTTACAGCATTCTTAACCAGTAATCTTACGGGCACTTCTCTGCTACTTCTGCAAGTTAACTGAACATTTGTCCTGCAGCACTACGAAGACTGTTGGTCCCTGCAGTGTCGTTGGATGCATCCCAAAATAATTTATCTCTGAAATGATTCAGTGAGCCGTCAGTTTGTCGCGTAGTGCTGGTGGTAACGTAGGTCGACGTCGTGAGTTGTGAGCGCCGATATATTAAATCTGCTGGCCAAGGAAGCAGACAAAGTCCTGAATGAATGACTCGACTTAGATGTGATTGTGGATGCTTTCTACTCGCTCTGAACGTGTTCAAAACTGCCTAATGATAAACGTTTAGATTTGTCTTTGTTCTGTTAGTTGCTAGCTGTTTCCTGCTGGCAAAGGATGCGGGCAACCCTTTATCGTAATCTTTTCACGTGTTTCCCCACATCAACCCGACCTCTCATTTGCCAAATATAAGGTCGAAGCCCCATTCTTCTCTCAAAATGTCTGCATATGTAACTGAGTCATGATTACATCATCGACTTCAGTTCTGCTACGGCTCCGGAACTGGACTTGGTGACCTCTCTGGCTCCCTGACTGACATTGGCCGCATGGTGAGACCGATCGGGCGCGTTCCTTATCCCCTGGTGATCGCTCACATTCCACAGTCCGGGCATAAACTGGCAACCGCCGGCCGGCCGCTTGATTACAAAGTTGGTCGGCCGTTTATTTGGCAGAGCCGCGATGAAGAAGAAAAGGGTAGGAATCCGGGGAGCGGAGTGGCACCAAGAGTCACTCTAGCCCGGAGCTGAAATGTCTTTATTGGTCACATGACATATTTTCCCCGTAAAGATAACTTATGCGTAAAGTGTTCTATAAAGTGTTCTAGGGTTGATAAAAGTATTGTGCTGATATGAGTGAAGTACATGAATAATTTGTGAACTTCAGTATACCTGGTTGGTTGATGAACGCTTCCTTAGAGCAAATTTTCAAACTAACGTGCAGGTTCAAACAGCGATAAAGATAAGTGCCAAGAGCGGGATAAAATGGCAAGCATGGAAATGCTCATTTACGTCGATTGTTGGCAAAAATGCGTGAACATGAAGACACAGTTTTGTCGAATCTGGCTTGGAACTGACAGAAATTGAAAACAAACAGTGTGTTCCGTCGTGCTCATGCAGGACTGTATTCTTACCGTCTTGTGAAACTTTCAAGTTACGTTCAAAAGCTGTCACAATGTAGAAACAACTTCAAAGAGCAACTTCAGTTCGGCCTTAAGTTCAAGTCTTCATAGTAATGGTGTCTTCAAAACGTGTTTGAGCAGTTTTTTGGCGTACAATAATGCATAACTTCGGAGTTACGAATAATGCATATCCATGCGTAGTGCGCACATGCGGCAATAGCCTGATTATGTAAGTACGGTGAATCGATCAGGCGATGTGTGCTCGAGATGCATACTTATAGTTTTATGACGGCTCTCACAATGCAGTTTTGCACTAACTTATAAAAAAAAAACTCGTTTAGAACTCAGCTTTGTCTGGCCGCTCGAAAACGTAAGCAAAATGTTTTACTGGTTGGACATTTTATCAGTGATTGGCGGATTTGTGGATATAATTAACTCATCGGTCCATTGTTGCTCGTGGGGGCCGACCAGTCATTCGCCCCAATCTCGAAAGAGGCGCCTTTGGACGCTAGTCATGCAGGAAGCCCCATATCAGCCAACATGTAAGACCATGGCAAACACCAGGCAGCAAGTCTCACCATCAGTGTCGGTAGCGGAGTATCAAAGCGTGTGTTGACACTCGCTGAGTATGACACGCGGTGAACTGCTCCCTCTGGGCGTGTCTGAGTCCTGTGTTCCTGACGAAATAGACCGATTCGTGGGTCTTGACGTATGAGAAGAGGTCACATCAACGATACATTCTTGGAACTATCCCTAACTAGTGGTTGTTCATCTGTGCAAGGTTTGGACGAACGTTTTGCTCGTTGATGTGCAGACCTAATAACGGTAATAATACGGATGTTTTATCTGTTTCCGATCTGGACGTCTAAGCGCCCATGGCCTTCGACTTTATGCCCACTTTGAGATCAATAAGATATGTAAACTGTCAGCTAAAAATGTGTTATAAAGCCTCAGTTTTAGTTAACATGGGTCTGATATCAGTAAAACGGGATCCAGGAGCAGCGATGCGCATGTAAGAAGGATTGATGTTCAGTCTTCTTGTACAATCTCCTTTCGATTTATTCTCAGGGTAATGAGAAAACCCATATAATGCTTTCCGATTTTTTACTGACCCCCGTTTGGTATATCGAAGTAGGGACTCGGCGGCCACTCTCCCTGCTCAGCACTCATGGCCTTCTGCGAGCCTCTTTGTATTCAGATAGAGCCGTCCATGAGTCATGCTCACTATGGCCACATGCGTGTACGACGGTGGCGGCCCGTTTGGGTGCTCAGCAGTCCGGTCACGCTCCGTCACACCCTCCCCTGCCCGGGGGTCACATCAAAGCCCCGCCCCGCCCCACAGACCGGACCCGGGCGGCGCTGCCCACCGGCTGCTGAGCTCGGTTATGGCCATAGAGGCCGACCGCGCTATAAATCGTCCTCCCCCACCTCTCTCCGCCCCGCCACCTGGGCCCCCTCCTCCTCCGACGAGGGCCGGCTCCATTCACGACGGCTCGCCACTCGGCCGCGGCGCAACAGGCGGCTCAGACGCCGTCGGCGCCGACGACTGACGGGTGACGCGTCCTCCGGGTCCGCCGACGGACGCAGATCTGGGGCCTGCGGCACTCGGTCCACTCTGTACAGTCATGTCGGGTGCCGAGTGGGCACTTACCGTCACTATGGGTCAGTGGAGGGCTGAGAGCTGCCGTACCGCACTGTTCAGTGGGACAATAGATCACTCCGCCGTCACTCAGACCGGTCACAAAGGGTCTTACGCGCTGATCGAAATGCTGACATCGACCACACAGACGCACTGATACGAGAAAAGAGTGAGGGGAAGAGGGTGGAGAACCGTTTCGTTCACCAATGCTTGCATTGGATTTCAAAATTACTAGCTGAAATCCAGTTCCACAGACTACACTTTTTTCAAGTGTTCCGCCAATTTACATCCAACAGATTTCGACCTGTTATATCAGCTATGGGTGCTCTGAACGGTTTACAAAGCACCCGGGGCTCAGGCGGCACTTGTGTTACCGCGACCTATAACAGCCTGATACGACCTGCTACCTACCTGATGCCACAAGATGCTGTACTCGTAGGTATCAGTTGGATGCAGCGTTTTGTTAGCCATCTGCTTATGCTGCGGGTCGCCTGAAATAGGTCCTTCTTGACAGAGATTGTCTGCAGTCTGCAGCAGAGGAGAGAAAATGCAGCACGACAGGCTATACATGTGTAATGAGTCATATTTATGGGGCTGGGGCTGAACTGGTATAATGGTTTAAGAACACTAGGCCTTGAAATATTTCCGCTGAATTCATGCGGTGTTGTAGGAAAAGGGCATTACATCGAATTTCCTATCGGATTACATGTGTTAACCTCGCGATTGACATGGACGATGTTGACCTATGAAGTAAGCCGGTCAGTGAACGGTAGTGTCACATACCGTTTGAGGAGCACTCGGCGCGGTGTGTTAGTGCTCAGAGGCGGTGTTTCTGAGCGAGCATTTCGTTGCGATGTATTTTTTCCTGATCCCTAGTTAAGATGATTCTTTTCATGATCACGATGTCTCGTCTTGGTGCTAGGTAGATCTCTACGCGCTTAAATACACGAGACGCGCACTTATGTAGAACCCCTTTTTCACCAGCACCGCGACCGCTACCACTCCACAGTCGCTCCCCATTCCCATCCTCCATCTCTAACAAATGCCTCTCGTTTTATCATTACAGATCGAGGAGTATATGAGCCAGCTGCCGAACCACAAGGTACCGCGGCTGGGAACCACAGGCGAGAAGTACCGAGAGCGGAACCTGGTTCACCAGCTGCCCGCGCAGGACCTGGCGCTCACACACTGCCGGCACGTGGCGCCCGAGCAGCAGCGAGCGTTCCGCGACTTCGTCCAGGCGCGAAATGACATCGCGCTGGACGTCGGCTTCGTCCGAGAACTCAACCATTCCTCCGTGAGTTAGTAGCGAGCTCTGCACTCAGTGCTCCGTGAGTTAATGGCGAGTTCTGCACTCAACCATTCCTCCGTGAGTTAGTAGCGAGATCTGCACTCAATGCTCCGTGAGATAGTAGCGAGCTCTGCACTCAGTGCTCCGTGAGTTAGTAGCGAGCTCTGCACTCAACCATTCCTCCGTGAGTTAGAAGTAAGCTCCGTTCTGTGAGTGATCTGAAACATTGTTTCTACTTATTTTAGTGTTAAACCTTGTTTCTGACACAGTTTCCCTTTTCCTTGAATATGTAGTTATTGCTTCATTTTTATACATAACGTAAGGTCTTAATGATTAAAATGGACTTCGGAACGGCCGCCCATGGCCAAGGTCAGGTGTGCTGATGATCGCACCCCTCTCGTCCTTCTCACGCCCCTTCTGTATCGATCCATCGAGCTATCGATCTCCAAGCTGTAGAGCAATTTCCGGCCCGGCCTTTCCGTCGCCGCGGTCGGTGCTATGACCTTTCACCTGGCAGATTGGCTGCCACCGCCAAACAAAGCAGATCGCCAAATTAATTTGCCTGGCAAATTTACTTTCGATGCGCCCGCCTTCCTGTCTGCCCGCCCTTCCGACAGTCTTTCTTCCTCTTGTTTGTAAAGCCGCCTGAGTTTTTGTGTGGAGCATTTCATCCGCATTTTGGTTCGGTAACATTTCATCCGCATTTTGGTTCCGTAGCATCAGTGGATTTCTTCCGTCCGTAGTAAAGCTGCGATAGTCATACATTTTTTACTTTTCATGTGTGTTTTTTTAATTTGATAATGAACGCGTTAGTCTTATTTCGCGGTGCTCTCCAACTTGCCTGAAATTCTCGTACTCTATCTCAATATCAATGCAACATTGAAGTTCTTGATCTCATCATTATCTGAGCCAATCTGCTACATATAACTTCTTGCCACACCACATAGTGTCTCGCCCCACCATATCGATATCAAAATGCAACGTATTTCTCTGAACCGCTCTATTCCGTACTCTGAGATGGATGTCCTGACGCTGGATTTAACATAAAGGCTAAAACTACTAAAGACGTCGCGCGCGCATACCTATCACCCCCCTCCACCCACCCCCTCCTCACCCCCGGCTAGTGTCCTCTCCCCCCCCCCCCCCGGGCCCATTTAGTTGATGAATCGACAGCCGACAGGGCGGCGCCGGTTGCCGGGCCGCCCTATCTTACCACCATCTCTGGTGTGACGTCACAGAATGACGACCCGTCGTGTCTTTGGTGCGACTCGTTGATATTTTTGACGCGGCTGGAAATACCTACCTTTCAGAATCGTTGCTGTCTTCATCTTAGTTCTGTTTTTTTTTTTTTTGGAATGAAAAGACTTGTGATATTTCCATGCTGGTTTGTCCTCTAATGTGTGCAGTCGGTGTACTTATTGTCCTGCTTCGCATATACTGTCATCAATAAAAGCTTTTTATTTTGTTATTTTCGCCTCATCCGTGCTTTATTACATGTGCATAATTTTGTGTTTTTCTCCTGTGCTCACAGTTGACGCCCCGTTTGTGTTTTTGTTTGTTCCAGGAGTGCCGCAAGTGCCAGGGTGTGATACGACACGGCGAGCTGGCCGTGATAGCTCCTCGCTTCGGTGATGTGAGTTCATTCATCCGAGCCGCGCAGAAGTGCTGACCCCAGTGTCGGGTTTTACAATTTGGTACTCTGATGAAGTATTAGAATGGTACTTACATAGTGGCAATCGTTAATTGCAGAAATCCCTGGATTTGTTGCATTTCTGTCCTTACAAGCTATGTTATATCCTTTTAGCTTCAGTCGTGCGGCTTTTCCTTTTGGCTGTAATTAATTGTTGGCCAATCTGTCAAGATAGACTCTGTTGATCGACTCCCACCAAGTGTTGGCAGAAAGAAAAAGGAATATCGCGGCTCGCCTCTACCCTGATGATGAATTGTGGTCTTAGTAACTGGATCGCGACACTTTGAACTATTTTCGTAGTGGGATCTAATTAGAGACACCTTTGCACGGATCACAGCCGCCGGTATAACACATGGGTTCCTGTGATGTCCGCACACGGGTCAGATTACTCTCCCCCTCTGATCACCGTTCGGGTCAACAGGCGGTAGAATGCTCCCTCAGATCTCGGCTTCAGATCAGCAGTGTGAGACATATGATCCCTGACACCTATAACTACCTCTCAAAATCAGGCCCTTGACCTCGACAAAGCTGATTGGCTCACCGATCTGGATGCCTCGTCGTGGCAGACCAAATAGTTCATTAAACTTTGGTGTAAGTCTTTGCCTTACGACTTCTTTTTTTTTTGTAAAAGCTTCTCTAAACCAATGACCTCAGCGATTTTGGCTGTCTCAATTTGATTTAGCGTTGATCTCTAGCAGAACATCATTGATATCATGCATTTTTGAAGTCCGTACTGGAAGTTATTATTCATTTCCCTCCCTACCTCTCTCCCTACCTCCCTCCCTACCGTCCGCATGCGAACAACAGGTCATTGTAGTTATGAGAGCCAGAGAAGCCATCCCTCGTAGAGCCGCAGTCCCTCTCGACTGCCGTCCGGTGACTGCCAGCGCCACCTAGGTCTGTCTCCCAGCGGGCTGCGGCTGTGGGATGGGAGGAGCTCAGAATCGGGGTGACTCGGAGCCCAGCGCCCGGCCAGGGGGTGGTTGGGCCAGCTCGAGGGGCTAGACTCCTAGCTGCCGTTATGGATTAGGTAATGTGGTATATCGCTGAATGTTTGCAGATATTTGGCTAGGTCTGGTAGATGCTGCATCTTCACCTTTTGTTGGCATTTAGTGATTCCTATCAAAAGAAAGGACCAGCTTAAGCTCGGGACAAATAGCTGCTTTTTATTTTCTTTACATTTCAAAGTAACTGTGAACACTTATTCTTATCAAATCTGTTTATTTAAAATCGGACTGTCATTGTCACCATACATAACTCCAATGTGCTTTGGCTGGTTTACCGTGCTGCCATCTGCGGGAATCCTGAGACCGTGTCCTACACTACCGCCACCTACAATGGGGACCGTACTAAAGCTTTGTGAGGCCACCACCGGCTGACTTAATGCATCTCGGGCCTCTCATCGCCCTTTGCCCCTAGCGTTCTTACGTATAGGTGTTCGCTTACGAATAGCACAAGGCATTCTGGCAAAACGTTCCCAATCCCCATACTCGTGTCCCAAACGTCTGACACATCGCATGTTTCGAAGGCCCAGAAGGACTATTTTACCATCCCTCTCATAAGGCATGTTTCGTAAGACTCGCGACGCTCACCCCTCTTTCTCATTCTCTCCCTCAGGTAACGTGGCACCCTGCGTGTTTCGTGTGTCACACGTGTGACCAGCTCCTGGTGGACCTCACCTACTGTGTCTATGACGAGGAGATCTACTGCGAGAGGCACTACGCCCAGCAGCTGAAGCCCCGCTGCGCCGCCTGTGATGAGGTCAGTCCCGAAACACACACACTCACACGCTTCACTAGACACGGGCCGGTGCGGTTTTACTCTTGACCAGGAAGTCGCCAGAGAAGGAGCTGAATTTTTAATAGCGTGAGCCTAGTGAGCGACACCAAAAGGCTTCGTTATTCTGTAGAATAGTTCACTCGGTTTTGTGCCAAGAGTGCGCAGCACTGCTCCTAGCGCAGCCAGGCAGCATTCGTCTGTGGTGGCTGCGAGACTGTCAATGCGCAGGTTTGGCGTCTTTCGTTGGCTAATATGTTACCTCCTTGATAGCATCAGTTCTGTCAACAGACTGATTTTGAAATGTCACGTTTGGGATCTGCAAAAACAGCGGCATCCACACGTCATCAGCCCACTTTGTCATCGGCGCAGCTGCAAGTAATGTGCATTTCGGCAAAACTCCGGAGGCTTTACATTAACATTGATTGAAACAAATTTACAATGTTATGCAATGTCAATGAAAATTGCATGCATTACCTCATTACAGTCTAATTAAGTTTGTGTATTCACGTAAACTTTCCTTCATTATAGCAAGCTCATCATTCAAATCATTTTATAACTAAAAAGCAAACAAGATATAAATGCTGCGCACATAAATGCATGGCCTTGTCTTTCATTATCATAATGAATCATTCACCGGTTCCGGAGCTGTGGTACTGCTCGCTCTTATCCGTCTCTGCAGCAAACGGACCACGATTTGCAGTGGGGTAGGTTTGGACACTAGCGCTCCTGCAGCTGGCGAGGACACTCCGGGGGTGGCGATCTAGCAGTTATCCTCAGCGTCTTTTTGTGCAACCAGCTATCGCTTTCATATGCGAATGCGTCTGGAAATGATAATGACCTCGTGGTCATGATGTGGTAGGGGATAGATCGCTCTTCATGGATGTCGACAAGTGCTACGTTGGTCTTGGTTTGTGGATTACGGTATTTTGCTAAAAATGATCGGTGATTAAACAAACATTCCACACGCTTCCAAGAGCGGATCGGTGCCGTTTTTCTGTGCTTTCACAATCGCTGACTTTGTCTTATCGTCTATTTACAATTCACCCTCGCACATTAAAAATGACGTAAATGGTAATGTTGGTTCAGTTAGATCTTGGTAACTTCTCTTACTGTTTTTTTAATCAAACTTTTACTCATTGATATTTATTATAAGGCATAGGCTGAAGATATCTCCAGCATACATACTTCAGTACTTTTTCTTTTACATTTTTTTTTCACAACTTTCATATTGCATTTGTAAATTGTAATTAAGTTACATAACGCACTTTGTGTGAGCTGCAGCGGAATACCTGAAGCGTATCACCGCGTCTTGCAGATCACATTTCTTCACATTACACACACATCTGGGAGACATTTTGTTTAGTGCGGGAGAAATCTAAAACAAACCCACCTAATGGCGTCTGCGTCTCAGCAGCGGGCTCTCAGCAGTCGTCTCCAGCAGTGACGTCAAACACGCCGGTCCTGGCCAGGACGCTGTTTCGCCGGGCTTGTTTTCTCTCCGCCGGGGTCCGAGGACGACCGGGGACAGACGGCACGGACAGACCAGGTGAAAATGGGCCACTCCACCCCCAGAGGGCGACTGCGAAGTGCGCTGGTGACAGGGTTGGTGCACTGGTGCCAAGCCTGACGCCGGTGGTGACGGTAGTCGGAAAACAACCATTCTGTGCGTCTGATGTGGTGCTATGGGCGGCACAGCGGCGAGTAGTCTGGGAAAACGCCGAGTGTCGCGCCTTACGGCAGTCCCCACTCGGATGTGGCTTTGGTAGCTCTGACGTTTGCTCTTGGAATTAGGCAGAAAGGCAGGACAAATAAAGGACCGTCACAAAATCATCCGCTGGCGCCGGATACTGCTTTGGGCTCAATGAAGCGCCGCGTTTGTCCCCGTGTCGTAATATTTGTACACATCTGACATCATGTGCTGTTGATGAAAGGTGTCAGCATGGCGGCGCGCCTAGCTGAGGGCTGCCAAACGGAAACTGGTCGTCAGCCGCCCACTCGGGGTGTGACATTAATGACCACCCTTCACCTCCTCCCCCTGACCCGAGTCGGAGTCGGAGTCGTGTTGGGAGTGCATTATGGAGCCCGGGTGCGGCTGTCACCAGCTAGCGAATCCTACGTCACTGAGATAGGGCTTTGGCAGCAGGCGATAGTGTATCAATGTCTGAAACTGTCGAAGCATTGGCATTTGATAATTTTCGATGTGCTGCGAAGTTGGCACCACAGTCTAGGTCTGTTTATCAGTTATTGGTTTATCATTTCTGCCTTCCTGTGCAATAAAGAAAGACCAGTCCGATAAGACTGAGTTGTTTTAACCTTCGCCCCAGTGGGGGGGGGGGCATATGTTACCACCCTGTAGCGTTTTTTGCGTGTAAATAAAAACCGCGGCGCGTAGCGCCGCGCCGCTTGGAGTAGCTTTTGGTACATCAATTTTGGACAATGTGTTAAATTTTTGACCCCAGGTCATGTCAGGTCAGGTCACCAGGTCAAGTTAACTGACCAAGCCTAAAAAAAAGTTTGCAATCATGTCCAGCCTGCAGTGTTTGTCAGAAAGCTTTTAAACTTGGTGGATTGCATGATGCTACGGGCGCCTACAATTTGTATATCTCGGATTTTTTATATCCGTGACCTAAGGTCAGGTCAGTGGCGTGACCTTTCCATTACAAGTCAATGGAGAAAAATGAAAATGCCTCTAGATCCGTGTGTACGCATAGGAACAGTCCAAATATTTCAGAATCACAATGATTTGGACCACCCGTGATGACCAGGGTGTCATTTTTGCTGATAGCCTCTAGAAAGGTCATCCGAGGTCATTTGAGGCTACAAACAGATTTTTGCCAATAACTCGCGATTGGAAAGAGATAGAACGCTGGGGATGGTCTCATTGTGTTTGTCTTGCCGAGACGCATCGATTGACATGCAACATGACCTTTTCCGGTCAGGTCATGACCTTGACCTGAGGTCAAATTTTCAAGTTGACCTTTCAAGGTCAAATTATAGTTCATTCGACGCGTCTCGGCGAGAGGAACACGATTCTGGCACTAGAAATGTCGTGGCTTTTTGTTGTCGAAAGTTATTGCCGAAAAACACTTTTCGTAAAAACAGCTATTTTTGGAGATTTTGCCCTCTGGAGGCTAAACCCGTGACCTGAGGTCAATTTTGATAATGACCTTTTCAAAAGAAGAGTTCAAGAGCTATCGATTGCTTTTCCATGCGTTTTTCTAGCTACCATAGTTCCTGAGATAACGGCATGTTTTCTGAAAAATATAATGACCGTTGGCAAATTTGACCTTTGATGACCTCTGGTGACCCCAATATTGCTCTAAGATGAAAAATAACTGAAATACTTTCAAATGTACGCATTGAGAGCTATCGACTGCTTTTTACCGCGTCTTTCTATCTCTCTTAGTTTTTGAGCTAGAGGTGGGTGGTAACATATGCCCCCCCTCACTAGGGCGAAGTTGGCGGAGACCGCCACTGGGGCGCGGGTTAAAGTGTGCACTTCTTAAAGATGCTTGCTTAAAACTTTGATTTATGTTTAAGATGCTGATTGTTCATAACACACCAGCGTATCCCACCCGCCGAATAATTTACATCTCTTTTCTGATTCCCGTCTGTTTCAAACTTATCGGCGTAAATAATGGGAGTCCAATTAAAACATCTTTGAGTCGGCGATGAGCAAGGGCTAATTATAAATTTGATGCCGCGTGTAGATTACGGTATTGGAGAAACCATGGAAACATTGTAATGAAATTGAAATTAATTGGTTCCTGCCCTCGGTGCAGCTTTCTCATATTGTGTTCAGTTTCACTCTCTAGTCTGTCTGCTTCAACAGGCCTTCGTCACTCTCGCTCGGATGCTCGCATCATCAGAACGTTCCAACTCACATCGCCACTGCTTTTTCTTTTCTGTTGAACTCGACCAGACCATTATCAGTCTCAGTAATTAATCAGACAGGAACAGACTTTCCACATTCTCAGAGACTCGCCTCGCCGCCTCTCGAACTAGCTTCCTACTTCCAAAATCCTCGGACTGGCCAGTTCAGACCATGCCGAGACCTGGAATGACCGCCTTGGACCATCCCAAGACCCAGACCGACCAGCTCGTACCAGCCGGTCCCGGATGGTCTTCTCAGACCAGCCCTGTGCCGCGGACCATTCTGCCGCCGGTCCGGGGCGGCGGGCGCGGCCGATCAGAACCACCGGCTAAATATACACACGACCGCCCTGGAACGCGCCAGCTCCGGGCCGCCCAGCCGGGGCGGGGCGGGGGCGGGGGCGGCTGACACCAGCCAGCCAGGTCCAGCTTCCAGACGGGCGCGGCAGCCGCGCCGCGGCGGGCTATAGGGTTACCGCGCCGCCACCGCCGCTGGACAAATACAGCGGCTGGTGTGAGGCGCGGCGGGTCCACCGCTGCTAGACACTGGCATAGGAAGGGAGAGGGACGGAGGACTAGCCGGGAGGCGGGAGAGGATGGGGACCATGGTCCCTGCTGCAGCAGGGCCGCTGGAGAGGGTTGGGGCCTGCCGGGCTAATACATATAAGGAGGGACAGCAGCACCGGGCCAAGTCGCCGAAGGAAAGGGACGGGGATTAGCTAGGATGCTGAAGAGGAACGACTTCTAACTGGGATAATGGGGAGGCTGATTTTATGACTGCAGAGGTGTTTTTAACTGAATTAATGTGCAGTGAGTTTGGAATTTCGCATTATGTATCATTCACCTCTGTATTCTGGCAGCAGGAACGAATCGGGAGTTTGTCAGATTGTTTAATTCTTTTTCGCGCATGGTGCATACTGTATGGCTTTGACTGCCAACTAAAACATTAACAAACATTGTATTATAGCGCAGGCTGAGCTACCACGGCTGTAAAGGCCTTTCTCAATGTAATAGCTGAATATCCAATTCTGAAGGATTTGAAATGTCCGCACAAGCAATGGGTTCATATGGTGTGAAATTTTCATGACATGCCATTACCTGTGTGACTA